GCCACTGCACTCCAGTCTGGGTGACAGAGTGAGACTCCGACTCAAAAAAAAAAAAAAGATGAGATCTCACCATGTCACCCAGGCTGGTTTTGAACTCCTGGGCTCAAGCAATCCTCCTACCTCGGCCTCCCAAATTTCTGGGAAAACAGGCGTAAGCCAACACACCCAACCAGGAATTTTAATAAACTATTATACTTATGCCCCTGTTTTGGAACTGGAAACATGTCACAAGATAAGCACTGCTGGTGTGGCCAGGCAAAGTGGGGTCTGGTAGTTGTGATGCCAAACTAGATTTTTGGAAGTCATTCAACCATCAGATTATTGTGCAATCTTAGGAAAGTCACTTCAACCCCTTTGTGCATCTGATCTACCTCTCCACACACAAATTACACCACATATTCCCCGACACACACATACAATTTGGAGGAGACAAGGACATAATCAGCTGATGGCAAGAAGTTGCTTCTTAGAAAAGGGCCAAGTTGGCTGGGCGCAGTGGCTCATGCCTATAATCTCAGCACTTTGTGAGGCCGAGGTGAGAGGACTGCCTGAGCCCATGGGTTTGAGACCAACCTGGGCGACTTGGCCAGACCTCATCTCTACAATAAAAATCAAAAAATTAGTCAGGCATGGTGGCGTGTGCCTGTAGTTCCAGCTACTTGGAAGGCCAAGGCAGAAGGATCGCCTGAGCCCAGCAGGTCAAGGCTGTGGTACCTGGGAGTGTGCCACTCCCTCCAGTCTGGATGACAGAGTAAGACTCCAATTCAGAAAAGAAAGAAAGAAAGAAAAGGGCCAAGTTAAAACACTAGTTGGTCACTTGCGTGTATTGCTTTTATCATTTACAGAGGGGCAGTATAGCGTAGTAGTTAAGAGCCTGGGCTCTGGCATTGGACTATGTGGATTTGATTGCTGCCTCTATCATTTACTGGCTATGTGACCTCTGGGTCTTTGTTTCCTCATCCACAAAATGGAAATGATAATAGTAATACCTATCACCTAAGATTGCTGTCAGGATTAAATGAGGCACATGGAAAATGCTGATGTGTAGTAAGCACTCACCAAATAATATCTATCACTGTTATGAGTATTAATTGTAATGTTCACTTCTCTCCCAGGAGTATGTCACAGACTAAAGGAAGTTCTCATTGGTGATCACTGAACAAGGAGCCAGTTGACTTGAGAGCCATTTCTATTCTTCATATTTTATAATTATTTTTATATGAATATAGTACATATTAAAAGAAGAACATGTATGAAACACTGCTAAACACAAAAAATAAAATAAAATAAGCTGCAGTCCTATTTCTGCCTAGAGCATTCCTTCTTCAACCTCCTTCCTACT